AAGTAATGCAAAATGGATTAATCCGTTCCAGACTTTTAAAAACAACCCCTAAAACAGCAATTTAACATCAATTTTACTATCTAACGAGAACATTGATCCATAGAATGAAAGCAATAATCATTGTACTGTACTGTAAAATAAATAAGACAGTATTGTAGATGATAAAAATAAAAATTAATGTTTTTTCTTACCTGCACTGATGATAGTCACTGTTTGGATGGGGGGCTTTTATCTGTTTCCGCAGCCACCCAGATCAATCAATCAGTAGCCAAACTGGGTTCCACACATTCACAAAAACAAATTAACTGAAAAAGCCTCAAAAACAAAAATGCAAAATAAATAGCAAAAACAAAAGCACCAAACTTAATCTGTTCCGGAAGTCCGTTTGACTTCCGAAATGTTCAAAAACTAAGGCGCAGCTTCTGATTGGTGCAGGCACCCTGGAAACAATAGCTGACAGCCACATTGGATGTCCGGCTTCTTAAAAACATTCAAGAACCAGAACACTTCTGTGTTTTTTGAGTTTGGGAACCAAGGCGTTTGAGAACCAAGGTACCACTGTACTCCAGATTCTTTAACCACACGAAGCTTGGCAGCTAAAGGCCAGGGGGCTTTTTCTGTTCTGGCTCCCCCCATCCCAGTGCAAGGTCTTTCCTACTGAGATCACACACGCCATTGTTTTAGGTGGCAAACAAAAACTTGCCCTTTGAAAAAAGGGCTTTTCTGTTTCGACTACTATTCCCAGAGAGTGGGTTGTAGTCGACTAAGTTTTGCTCAAAGCAGTTGAAATTAATGGTCCTAAATTAATTGTGTTCATTAATTTCAGTGGGTCTACTGAGTATGAGTAATGCTGGATACAACTCACAGTCATTGTTTTTGGTTTTTAATAGCAAAATTAGGATTCTGTGTTGGCACATAAATGTGGATGTTTATTGTTTCATCTGCTGCCTTGAGAAATAAGCAGGAGATACCTTTAAAGGGACGCAGGTGGCGCCGTGGGTAAAACCTCAGTGCCTAAGACTTGCTGATCGTAAGGTCGGCGGTTCGAATCCCCGCGGCGGGGTGAGCTCCCGTCGTTCGGTCCCAGCTCCTGCCCACCTGGTGCTGGCTTGCTAGTTGCAGCTTCGTCACGCTGGCCACGTGACCCGGAAGTGTCTTCGGACGGCGCCGGCTCCCGGCCTCTTGAGCGAGATGAGCGCGCAACCCTAGAGTCAGTCACAACTGGCCTGTATGGGCAGGGGTACCTTTACCTTACCTTTAAATTTTTTTTTTTAATGAAAAACCTTGCAAATAAGGGGAAATAAGCTAAATAGCACCTAGGATTGATAGATCTATATGAATCTCATATTTTTATATGTGGTGCTTTTCCTAAGTATTTCTTAACAAAAGCCCCAGTACAAAAATACAAATCGGAAAAGCGTTATTACTGTCTTATTGCAAAAGGGAGTGGCAGTGGCTGATGAGTTTCAATGCCTGCTGAATTTTAATTAATTATTATTATTTGCTGTAAGAACAAAAGAAGTCATACTTCCCCCTGGACTTTTCAACGTTACTTTCACCTTTATTCACATTGCCCAACATTTATTCTTCATTGGAGATCATTTATGAAAAGCTAACAAAGGATGGAGATGGGAAGAAATGGTAGATCCAGCTGCGTAGTTGTAGTTCTAGCTGATCATAAATACAGCACACACATACAGACATGATTTACAGGAATGTAACATGTCAGTTCTTGAATGCTTGCAATTATTCAAACCAGGCCAAACCATTGAATTTGCAGAGATGAAACCATCGTTTGATTTTACTTTCCCAATACTTCATGGATTTCCACAATCCTATGATGTCTAAAGTTCCTCAACCTTGAAATTAAGTAAGGTATTGATTTTGCTTATTTGTTCTGAGCTATATTGAATCTGCAATTTATCAAATTGAGACTTGTTGTGGGGAGGGCATGGGTTTAATATTCAAGGGATCTGCATGCTTCTAAAGACCAGTATGAGATCCCAGTATTGCATGGCTGGTTTCACATTTATATTGACTTTGAGAAGAATGTTATTAGCTAGTGTTGGGGCAGTCATGCTGCTATTTCCCCCCCTTCCCCCCTTCCCCCCCCATGGCAGAAAAAAAGACACATGGAAGAATATGATTAACCTCTGGCACTCCCACCTCTACACACTGTCCTCCAAACTCTGATGTAGTTCTCTAAAGACTTATCAGTCAGGTGTAGTCTAATAGTTAATCAGAGAGCAAACTGTGATATGTTTACATGCCTTCCTGATTGGTGCTGTTGGTGGGGAGATCAATGGCTGAGTTGAAATAATCGAATGTGTTTTGTGAACATGTGTCATGGTCAAAAAGCACCTCCTATTTGGGAGTATTCCCAGCGATTATCTTCTCTCTCAGTTGCTTTTGTTTATTTGCAATGATGTCATAAGACGGGACGCGGGTGGCGCTGTGGGTAAAACCTCAGCGCCTAGGACTTGCCGATCGTCAGGTCGGCGGTTCGAATCCCTGCGGCGGGGTACGCTCCCGTTGCTTGGTCCCAGCGCCTGCCAACCTAGCAGTTCGAAAGCACCCCCGGGTGCAAGTAGATAAATAGGGACCGCTTACCAGCAGGAAGGTAAATGGCGTTCCGTGTGCGGCTCTGGCTCGCCAGAGCAGCGATGTCACGCTGGCCACGTGACCCGGAAGTGTCTCCGGACAGCGCTGGCCCCCGGCCTCTTGAGTGAGATGGGCGCACAACCCTAGAGTCTGTCAAGACTGGCCCGTACGGGCAGGGGTACCTTTACCTTTTTACATAAGGCAAAAAAAATGGCTACATACGGTAGCATTGTGGCTTTGTGCTATTCACTATGTAATCCCTGATTGGCTGGGACCATCCATGTAATTGTATCTGCAAAGGTTTGTCAGCATCAACACTTCCCACAGAACCTCCAGTGAAGTCTGCTATGAGCCAGAGAGCAGAGAAATCAAATAGCCCTAGAAGTAGGTTACAGCAGTCTCCAAAACTTCAGATATATGTACTGGGATAATGATGGCTGCATCCTCATGCCCACAAAAGACAGGGACTGGAATAAGCTATTTATGCCACATTCCCAATTATAGACTGGGTGGAGCACACCATAGCAAGCTCCTTCAATGCTGGTGGATTATAACTGCTGGTCATTAACTAGGCTGGCTGAAGCTGATGGGAGTTGGACTCTTAATAACACCTGGGTGGCAATGCATTGAGTGTCCCTGGCTTAAAAGCTTCAAGGGTGGGGCCAGGTTAGGGAATTTAAGGATGAGTGGGATCTGATAGAAACTGGAAATTGGTATTTTTGTTATCTAACTAAATTTACATGGCACTTGATGGTAGTAAAGCCGGTAACAAGTATTAAAATGATCAATAAAAACAGTTTAAAACAACTAAAATATTTAAAAATAATTAAAATGAATAGTGAAAGAGATTAAAACACGCCAACTTCTGCATGCCTGGATAGACATGCCTAAACAAACATTTAATTCAAAGCCCCCGACCTTTTTCATTTTTCTTTTTTACACTGATAATAAGGATCTCTGAACCACACAGCAGTGAGACGTATTTACCCTAAGTTTGCTGAGTTCCTGGAGGCCACACACCTATTCCTAGGGGAATCTATGTCGTATTAGGTAATAAAAAAAGCCACTTTGTTATTACTTAGCCTGTGTTTAGAGTTCAGCTGTGTCACTTCTCTCTCTCTCTGTCTCTGTCTCTGTCTGTCTCTCTCTCTGTATGTGTGTGTTTAAAAAATTGTGTAATGCAGAGCCAAAGCAAAATGTACCCTAAATCATGCCTCTGTTAAAAAAAGAGAGAAAGAAGTGCATACAACAAATTCTCATTCCTCCCTGTTCCAATGTTTGTAGAGAATTTAGTTTTGTACTCCTGGCAAAATATGGCAGGACAAGGGGCAATTGACCAGGAGAGCAAGTGTCCCTGGGGCTGCATTAATTTCTTCCTACTTGACCCACGACATCAAAAGAAGCAGGGAGCCCTGTAATCAGTCCAAGCCCCTCTCCCTTCCTAAGTGTGACAAAGCAGTAGTAGCAAATACACGCTCTCCGCACCCTGGGGAGGTGAGGGTGGGAGTGCAGCTGATTGCATATTTATATGGAAGGGAGTCATGAAGGATGGGGAGAATGCAGAGAGAGGAGTGCTTTCGCAAATGCTTTCTATTGAGTCACAGCCCTTATCTGTTTACTGATGCCCACAGCCTTGTTTCCATAGATAGCCCTGTTTTGTGATCGCAAAGCATCAACGATGGCAGGAAAAGATTGGACCTGATGCCATATGTGGAAACTAATTTAGTAAGAAATTGCACAGCGACAAGGCAATGATGCTTTATTTTAAATGGCAGATGCCTCATTAGTGATGATTTATTTAGATGACCTTCTCAGAGTGATGCCAATTCTCTCCCTTCTTCCCAAGCCCCCTCCCCTCTCCCGGCTCACTGCGAAATATTCCTTAGGAAGCACCTCTCATCTAAAGCTCAAACTGGCTTAACCTTTCTGCTCCAAAACATTTCAGCAACACAGTAATTCGTAAGGTTTTGCATCGGATTTAGACTCTGCGACTAAAATTTACAGTGTGAATGAAACCCTAAACAGGAGCAATGTTTTGCTGCATGTCTCATTTGTGAAACATCCCTTTTCTTGGTGTTGCTTTAATCTTAAGACTGGGACTAGCTGAGTAAAAGGGTTGCTAGAGACGTGCAACACAGTCAGAAAGGCTTGTGTCATAAGGTGTGTTTTGGACATTACCCAACGACCACACAAAATATCATCATTCGACTTTGGGGTGGAAGTTGAACATTAGCAAAAGGCATTTGGGAGAGCGGAGAAATTTCCCAGTGAAAGTCAGCATGTCCTACTGGCTTCCTGAAATGTTAGAATTATCAGGAAATGCCAACATTCACAGAGTTTCTGACATTTACCAAAATGTATTTTGATTGCGTTTTTTGTTCTGCTTTGTTTTGTTCTAGAATGTGGCAGGCCTTGGAGGGGAAGGGACATACGCAACCAGTTTGGGCTCAGAGACAGAAGGTCCATGTGTCCTTTCGTGGGCTGGAGCCCCTAAAGGACAGCATTGCAGTCAACCACTAGCAGGTAGGATACGCCTGACATTTGTTTATAAAGGTGTCTAATTGCCATATTTATAATAAACATGACTGAAGGAAAGTAGTAAGGGAGCAATACAGATCTAATATTTTTCTCTTAATTAAAAATTTCCCCTGCAGGGAGTCATGTCTTTTGACATGTTACTCATAAGTTTTGATAGGCATTATCTTCCTTAGTAATGGTAACAGAACATGCTGTCAATATTACTGGGTAATGTTGCTATCCCTACGGGGGACCTGATCCCTGGTGTCATTATCATATCTTGTTTTATTCAGAAACACCTTCAACAGAACCACAACAAACTGTTATATAAAGGCAATAATTAGCACTGGATCAACTGTTTGCATTTTCACATCAGTGATTTCTCTCTCCCTCTGGAGCAAATGTTTGTTGCTATGTTCTTATTTTTTAATTTACACTGCAATACCCAACTTGAAGTTAGACTCCATGTGGCATTTCAACTTGGTAGATAAATATATGAATATACAGAAACACATCAGGTGTATTAATTTAAGAAACAACATCATGATTGATTGGCTATATTGGGTGTGAGGAACTGGATCCAACCAGTGAATTGGAGTCTGATCTTCCTTAAACCCTGTGGGCCAAGTTTGATGGGTGGGTGGGGCTGCCCGCCAGTCACCTGACTTCACAATGATGTTGGGGCTAGCAAAGCACTGTGCAGTGTGCTATGCAAGCTTGTAAAATGTGGTCCATTGAGCTTTGACCAGTTTGGATGTGGAGCTTCTGGGATCCTGCAGCAGGTCCTGCAATTATGAAGTCCAACGGAAGGAGAGAGGCGAAGGGGACACCAGATTTTGGCATCGTAGTGTGCTACTAAAATTTGAGGTACCAAAGTCTACCACTGATTGTTGGGGCTTCTGTACACAGTGCTAAGCAAAAATGGGCCACCTAAGATCATTCTGGCATCAGGTTATTGCTCTAGAAAGTCATGCCTCTGTGTAGCTCTGTGTGGCCAAGCTGGAGGGAGCCTGTGACCCATGTGCTCCATTTGGCGAGCAAGACTGTTTTTGCCAAGAAAAGTTTCCCATATTTTCTCTGCCACTACATAATACATGTACTACCTTACTGCATTATTGGAACGATTTCTTGTGCTGCACATTGGGATAGCTGTCTTTGTGCTAATTCTACTTACTTTTCTGTGTTATTTGGATGTATGGTTTCAGCATCTCAGTATGAATTAGCCTAGTCTGGCACTGAAGTCAATCTGTTTGCATTCCAGCATCTCATATTGTGCAATAACCCAATGATCTGTATAGACAAACAGAGCAACGTACCCTATCAGCATATTGTTCATATTATTGACACTCTTGGAAAATAACTTACAAAGGTTGACTAAGCCTGTTGTTTTGAGATGCTCGCCTGGGTTGTGCATCACTCAGTGTTTTGATATTAGGTGGCCACATTCTGCCTCGAGATGGGGAACCTTTTAAGTTGCATAACCTTCTCGTGAGGCTACAACTGCTAATTTGGTGTTTAATTATCTATATTTCACACTGTTTATTTGACAACGCTTAGATTAATTTCTCTTTCCAAGCAAATCACATTTAGGGATGCATTTGCATATCTTGATTGCGGTTTAATGCCCTGGCTATCACAGTGGTTTTTTTTCTTTCCCGAGAAGAGTACTTTTTTTAAAAAAAAGGAAACAGGGAATGGTTTCACATTACTGCATTGCAGATTTGTTGGCTGGACATACTTTTATTTGAACAAAGAATGAACTTGACCATAATAAGGATAATATTTTGACAATCTTTAACCTTCTTGGCTTTATTTGATTAAATATCCCAGTAAATGTTGCTGCCCTTGGCTTTATTGGGAGGAAGAGAAAGATATAAATTTAACAAAATATTCAATAAATAAGTGAAAATAATATGCATGTGTGTGTGCATGCATGTGCATATACCACAATCATGCATTTCAAAATGGAAGTCAGAGCAGTATTACTAGATCAGAGGGAGCTATACCCAAGCACTGCCATTCTGTCATTAGCAGGGTAGAAGATGAAAGGAGAGTGGATTTTCATCTTTTCTTTCCCTGCTTTTGGCCTCCCCCTGCATTCACTTTTAAGGAGGTTTTCTCCAGGACAATACCAATGCCAATAATAATTTTATTATTATCCCACCCATCTAACTGGGTTTCCCCAGTCATTCTAGGAGGCACTTTCTGTTCTACACCAGGCGATTGGTCCAGAGTTTGGGGAGCACCAGTATTTTCAATGCTGGCTAAGAGGGTGTGCTTCTGAGGATGGATCTCCTCCTCTGAGAGTAGCCTTCCTACTCTGCTCAGGGTACGTCCACACTCCTGCTTGCCCCCATCACCTTCCCCTGAAAACCTGCTGCTTACTGCTGGATCAGAGCAAACCTCAGTCGGGTTTTCTGGGGATTTTCTCCGATCCAGTGCTAAAGAGTGAGTTTTCTGGGGGAAAGCAGTGGGGCAAAGACAAAACTGCTCAGACTTATGCCTAGAAAGCATGGGGCAAGTGGAAAATTGCTCAGACATAGGAGCAGCAGAAGTGTGGAGAAGCCTTCAGAGGGAGAAATATTCTGAATACCACAGGATGCCTTTGCAGGGACCTTTGGGATTGTGCCCTAAGCCTTTGGAATGGAATTGTTGCCTTTGGGAGCATTTGGGTCCAAAAGCAGGCCATCAATATAAGAAACCCAGATCCACACATGTTATATAATTATATGCATTTGCAGACATTCAACACACATTAATCCATTGAACTGGAACTCTTACACAGTTAATGATTGCTATCGAGCACCCATAAATCTATTTTTCAGTTTCATGCAGCCACAGTTCAGAGCTCATTGCTGGCTAAAGAAGATGGAGTTTTTCCAGTATCCTGTGTCCATTTTGCATACTACTTTTATGCCCACATGGGATGATTGTCCTTTCTCTGCCTCAGTAAAAAACAACAACAAACCACGTTGCTCCTCAGCTCCACCCACTCTTTAGGGCTCTTCTGATTCATGCACATTTCCAGAAGATACACATTCTCTTGAATGTGGGAGAGTCAATCTCCTGGGAACAGTCTGCAGTAGTCTTTATGATAACAAGACCCAATATTTCCCATTCAGATGGAGACAGCCTCTAAACACTATAAATTGCACAGCACCACAGAATACAACATGCACAACTGAATATATTTGAGGCAGAAATTTCCCCCGCTATGATTTTCTTTCATGATATGAAAACATTCCCCCTGTAAACATTTTTGGTTTGAAGCTAAAATAGGATGGAGATCACATAGTCCAGAGTTAATGCAGACACTGCATAGACACATGTACATACCCCATTTAATCAATGCTCTGCAGCTGTTCCCCCATAAGAGGAAAAGGACAACTAAGATCCAACTATAAAATATGATCCTTGAGAATTTCTGTGCACAACCTTTTAAAATAAATATTAATGTCTGAATTATCATCCTAAACTTGCATGCAAATACACAACAAGAGAAACATGACAGTTTATGAGAAGCTACTATGAGAGTATTAGACTGTGTTTACCAATGTTTTTATGGGCAATCGCCACAGTTTCACAATACTTCATATAGAGCAAACACTAAAAGACCTGATGTAGGCACATGTTTTTCAATTCCAAATTATAAAGTGCTTTAAAGTTTGTGGGAATCAAAACTTTAAAGTTCAATCAATCAGTTGTCTGGAATATATTGTATACTTCTTTTATACCTGATCATGATTAGCAATATGTATGCATATGTGCTGTTATGAACTCCTTAAATTAAGCAAACTGAATCACTTTGTTGCTTGAATCGTCTTGTTGCACGGAGCAAATAAACTAAGCCTCATGTGTCTGGACATGCAAACAACAAGCGCACCGGGGAGGAGGAATCATATCTGCAAGCTTGGTGCCTGCCTGCACACTTGCTCATCTGCAGTGCCTCTCGGTGTGCATAAACTAAATGTGTAGGTTTGAATGTGTAGCTGAGGCCCATGCTTGCAAGGACTCTTGGTATCATGTATGAGCCTTTACATGTGCCCTTTGCAGAAGCAGCACAGGACGAGGCTTAACTCAAAATTTTAAACCCTTCTGTGTATATTCCAACTCTGAACCAGGTTCTTGTAACTCACTCTGCTTGCGAGGGATGGCTGTTTCCACCTGCCTAGCTCCCAACCACCAGTTCTGAGAGCTTTCCTAGGGCAGCTGTTTCCAGGAGAACGCTCTAGGCAGAGGCAAGAAACCTTGGGGAGAGAGCATCTGATTGTTTGGAAGTCAAAGTGCTGTGCAGAACTCCATTGTTGCACACTATGGTTTGAAGAGCTGGCAATTAGCTGATCATTGACACTTCAAAGTGGCATCCCGAGCTCTTTGCAAGAGGTTCACAAATAAACCTGCACTGTGCTTTGAGGCCCCAGAGATCAGCCAGCTTCAGCACTTCAGAAGCCAGGTGTGCAAAACTGCTGAAAGCTCAAGTGTAGAGCCTCTTGAATATCATACAATTGTCGGTTCTTCAGAAGCCCCTTTGGACTCAGCCCAGCTGCCCTTTTACCTGCCCATTCCTGATGATGTCAGTGACCAGCAGGTGCATGTGGCTTGGCCAAAGTAGTCAGGTGACCCATTTAGGGCCACAGACTGGAGGCTTCTCACCCCTGATCTATACATCCAGCGGGGGGAGGGAATTGTACTATGCCCTCAATAGCAGCAATCACCTCATATTCATCCCAGTTGGGTGGACACCATGAGCAGAATGAAGGGGCCATTGTTGGGTGAGAATTATAAAGCACAACTGTCTCTGCCCATGTGTGGCAATGCAGGATATAGCACAAGATCAGTTCATCCATAGTTGGTGGTGGACACAGTGTCTTCCTCCACTGATGAAGCAAGCACAGGAGAAAGGGAGGAGAGCCTTTGTTTTTGTTATTTGTGAGAAGAAACAGAAGGAATCCAGTGAGATTGCCACTAGTATCTTAATTGTTTTCCCATGTTATACGACCATGTGATAATGATAATGATAATTTTTTTGTACCCCACCCATCTGGCTGGGTTTCCCCAGTCACTCTGTGGCTTCCATAGTTCATGTACTGCTGAGTTCCATTTCAAAGCATGAATGTTCATTACTAAAACTGTTGCTCTTCTGCGTAATGCGTCTACCCACCTCCATCTTTCCTGTCTTCAGCATTCTCTTTCAAAAGCAAGGGAATTAAAAGGATGATGAGCAAAATGGGTTTTGTTGTTGTGCTTACCCAATTTTGGTTGCTTTAGTTTTCAGTTTAATGCGTGCAGAGGAAGGCTGAATGGATTTAATTAATGTGTCTAAAATTATGTATTTCAATAGCTATAAACAAATGTACTTGCATTTATTAATATAAAAAGCTATGCAAATGGCTGCTCTTTTGATTGTAGCAGTATCAGAAAATTAAAGTAATGATACACTGTGATTAATTGATTCAGGATGGGTTTTGTTGAGTAATTTTGTGCTTAATGAGGTTCCATCTATTCAATTTCGTTTTCCATTTCCACTTGTTTCACTCCTGGTCTTCCAGAAAACATGAATTTTTAGAAAAAGCAATGAATAACATTATAAAAGATATATTGCTGACCACAGAGGCTTGTGTTTTAAAAAAATAACTCACCATTTCAGTGTGAAGCTGAAGCATGTTAAATGCTTTAGTCAGTGCTTTTTTCTTAAAAAGATGTTTAGGGGTACTCTCATTTTCCTACTCATATTGAAATACTGCCCGTTAATGAGACCAAACTTAGATTCACAAAATGTTTAGGGGTATGCGTACCCCTGCGTCCCCCCAGAAAAAAGCACTGGCTTTAGTCATTCGGAATGAGTTTTCTTAAAACCTTAAGAGCATCAGATAGTCAATTAATGGATACATTATGAAGGGAGGGGGGGTGGAGCGGAGTATACATTGAAGATATGTTAACACTGCAAAAAAAAATTAAATTTTTGCCATCTTGCGTCAAAATGGTATCCACTTGTATCCAAACATAGATGAAAACCTGTGCCTTAATCGAAGGAACCATAATGAAAAAATTGGTTATGATATCTTAAGTGGTGTCTAAATACAAAGCAAACAAAAAACTTTCCAAAGCACACAGTAAATGTTCAACTCTTTTTTGTTCAGTCAGAAAGTAGGAGCAGGAGCAAGAGTCACATACTCCTGTGACCCTCAGGTTTTTTTAAATGAAAAACTAATCAAAGTTTCTATTGGGTTCAGTCCGTCTTATGGAACTCGGCTTCCCCCACTTTGGATTTTGTGCAACCAAAAAGGAAA